GTCCGGAAGGGGTGACGCGGCTGGAGCAGGCCCCCCGAGTGCTCGGGGGGCCCCGAGCCCTAGAAGAGAAGAGCGGGGACAGATAGGAGGGGCGAGTTCAGAAGGAGGGTAGAGGATGGTGGGGGATCGCTGCCCTTTGCTCACCCCAGGACTCGGAAGGCCTGGGGCTTGGTCCTTTTAGGAGCTGATGGTCCTTGAGAGCCGATTATTTGGCCTCCACTCCTGGGCCCTGGGCAGTCCTGTCAGTTCCCACAGCCCCAGGGGAGTTTCTAGATGATCTGTCCCCTCTGAAGATTTCCTTTCCAGAGAAGTTGAGGCACTTTACCCAGGTCTCACAGCATGGATGCCTGCAGGGAAGAGTTACTGAGAGATCCTCCCTCATCTCCCCAGAAAACATCAGACTTTGGGAGAAACACCTTACCCCATGTGGCCCTCTGGTCTCCTCAGATTCCTGAAGGCATGGGTTGGCCAGGACAGTGGTGACCCACCAATCCGGCATGGACGACTGGAAACCCAGCCCCCTCATCAAGCCCTTTGGGGCTCGAAAGAAACGTAGCTGGTATCTTACCTGGAAGTATAAATTGACAAACCAGCGGGCCCTGCGGAGATTCTGTCAGGTATAGAGGTGTCCCAAACCTCCCAGGGGCTCCCTCCTATCTTTACCCCAGCCTAGACTATGGGCACTGGGACCTACCTTGGCTGCACCCACCCTAGAAAGAGGCAGCAGATTCATCAAAGGGAAACCTCTTTGTGTCATGTCCCTACCAAGTAGTGGTTTGGGCCCAGAGTTCTGGAATCAGAACCCAAGTACAACTAGGCTTCTGACAAACCTGAAGTTGGCTCAGGGAGGCTTTGCCCAGGGTGCACACCTGTCAGGGCTAGGACCCAGGTCTTCTGATCCCCAGTGTGGTTCTCTGGCTCCATCTCTAGGAACTAATTGTGGAGGGGATCAGGGAAATCAGGGCCTCAAATGGAAGATTACAGGAGCCCTGGGTAGGGAGCACCCTGATGAAGGGGGAAGGGTCAAGGGAGGGTCCCTGGAGGAGGTGGTCATGAACTTGGACCCTATTCCTGGAGGAATAGAGCTGAGCAGACCGAGGATGGAGTGGCAGGCCCCAGGTTCTCCCTGTCATCACTTCAGCCAGAGCCCTCCTTTCAGTAAGACCCTCAGTCATCTGGAGGGGTTATCCCTCTTTAGTCACCCCCACCCTCCTCTCAGACAGGGGCTGTGGTTTTCCTGCTGGTGACAGTCATTGTCAACATCAAGTTGATCCTAGATACTCGGCGAGCAATCATTGAGGCCAATGAAGACTCAGAGCCGGAACAAGACTATGGTGGGGCCAGGCTGAGGATGGGATTAGGGGGGTGGGGGTGGGGTGGGGTCCCCTGGGATCCTACAGCTGAAATGATGGGCAGATCCCAAGGGATGAGACTCTGCTGGAGGGACTATCTCCGTGGCCTGTTGCACCCCAACAGATGAGTCCCTGGGCCGATTGGAGCCCCCACGGCACAGAGGAAGCGGTCCCCGACGGGTCTTGGATGTGGAGGTATACTCAAGCCGCAGCAAAGTGTATGTGGCAGTGGATGGCACTACGGTGAGTAGGCTGATGTCTAGTGTAGAGTCACTCCACTCAGGGTGTGGTCCACCAGCCCTGTGGTCTACTGCCTGAGTGGGAGCTGCACCCCGGCCAGTTCCTACCTCTGGACTTCAGAGGCCTGAAAGTTCTCCTCCTCTGCACACTGGGACTAACTGATTTCTACTTGCCAGAATTAAATGTAAAGTATGTGAAATGTAT